TAATTGGCCCAAATCCCAATGAAACTGAGCAGTAAGAGCCAGAATTAATCGGACGGTAGTTGGTTTGACCACGGGACTGAATGTCTCACTATAGTCAATCCCCTATTTTTGACTATAACCCTTGGCAACTAATCGTGCCTTGTACCTGGAAATGGACCCATCAGGATGCTTTTTAAGGCGATAAACCCACTTGCAGCCAACAAAATTTTTGCCACTTGGAAGGGGAACAAGATCCCAGGTTTGTTACAAATGTAGAGCTGTGATCTCATCTAGCATAGCTGCTTGCCATTCTGGGATTTTAGTAGCAGCTTTATAATTGGTAGGCTCAACAATAGAAATCTCGGATGAAGGAACAGTTGCAGAGTATGCTTTCCGTTTAACAATCCCACTTGTAGACCGAGTTTGCATGGGATGAAGATTGACTGAAGGAACTGGAAGCACAACAGTAAGATTTTCAGATTGAAAATCAGGATCATCAGGGATTGGGGACTGTGTAGCTGTGATAGAGGCTGAAGAGAATAAGGTGGAAGCTTGAGGATAAGGTAGTGGGTGCAGGTATAGTAGTGAACAACTCTGAAGCTGAAGAGGGTACATTCAAAGATTCTGAAGCACTAGGAGGTTCAATGAATGACTCTGAAGCTCGAGGTGGAAAGGATGTAGATGATGCAGGTGATGATGATGAATGACTGGTGTGTGATAGTGATGGTGGACTAGAAATCACTGTGTTATTTTTTGTGAGAAGTGGAATAAGTGAGGAAGAAGTACAGTTTGAAACACACTCCAAAGGATGAGATTTAGATGCCAAAGTTGTGTAAGGAAAAGTATATTCATCAAACAAGACATGCCTAGACACATACAATTTTCCTGTACTTGGTTGAAAACAAATGTAGCCCTTGTACTGCCCTGCATAACCCAGAAACACACATTGGGTTGAAGTTTAGTAGTATTGTAAGGTCGCAGTAAAGGAAAACAACTACAGCCAAAAGTTTTCAAATGGGTTAAGATTGGAGAAGTACCAAACAGACAAAAATAGGGAGATTTCATAGACAAAGTATGACATGGCATTCTGTTTATCAAATAAACTGCCGTAGCACAAGCATGGAACCAAAACTGGGAAGGTAATTTAGAGGTATACATAAGAGTGAGGGCAGTTTCAACAATGTGCCTATGCTTTCTCTTAGCAAGGCCATTTTGTTCAGGTGTATATGGGCAGGATTTTTGATGTATTATGCCTTTGTCAAGTAAAAACTGTTTAAACTTGTTACTGGAAAATTCACCACCACCATCACTTTGAAAGATTTTAAGTGCACTAGAAAACTGAGTAGACAGAAAAGCATGAAACTGCACAAACGTTTGAAACACCACACTTTTATTCATTAATGGAAATATCTAGGTAAACCTGGTACATTCATCAACAAAAGTAACATAAAATCGGAAGCCTTCTATTGACAATGTAGGAGATGACCCCCAAACATCACTATGGATGACTTCTAAAGGTTGTACAGTTTTATTTGCAGGAAAAGGGAAAAGCAATTTAGTTATTTTGCCCTCTAAACAAGAGATACACACATGCCTAGATTGGTCTAATGCAAAAGGAACCTGAGATTGGTCCAACATTTTTGCAGTAACAAGATTGGAAGGGTGACCTAATCTATTGTGCCAAAGAGATGTGTTGACTTGACGACCAATGAGACGGTGTTGTTGTTTAGGGAAGTGAGATGCTTGATATGCTTGCTTGAGTATGAATGGAGGTATATGAAAAGGAATCGGGTACAATCCAGCTCTACACAGCCTCTAAAGAAGGATTCTCCCTGTGATATTGTCCTGTATCCAGAAACAAAACTCATCACATATAAACCGACAGTGATTATCTTTACAGAGCTGATATACGGACAATAGATGTTGTGACAGTTTTGGAACATGTAAAATTTCTTTCAACTGAAAAGCATATTTAGGAGCTCTTAAAGTTGAAGAACCAGTATGAGATATTTCCAAACCTGAGCCATTAGCTGTGGTGATAGTATCAGTCCCTGTGAAAGGAGTGGCAAGATTAAGGTTTGCCAATTCAGAGGTCATATGAGATGTAGCTCCAGTGTCAGCCACCCAAAACTGTTCTTGTGGGGCAGACGGTGGATAAATGACATTCATGGCAGTGAGATTTGGTGATGGTGACCTCCCTTGATAAGAAAAGTTAGCCCTGTGGTAGCATTGGAGTACAGAGTGTCCAAATTTCCAGCAAATTTGGCACTGGATAGGAGAAGACAAAACTGGTGTAGAAGAGTGCCTTTGAAAACAATCAGAGGCGATGTGACCTCTTTTGGTACAAATCTGACAAGTAGGCACATCATTGCCATGCTCAGGACAAGTAGAAACATAAGGTCTTGCAGGGCCAAGAATCCCAGGACCAGTATTGTAATTGCTACCAGAAAATCGTGGATTCCCAAAATGATTTCGACCCCTAGATCAGCCTCTGAAGTTAGAGCCTCGAAATCCTCCAGAATTGTAAGTATTGCCACCATTAGTATAGCCTCCAGAATTATAGTTGGGACCACCATTATGTGAATAAGAAGAACTTCAAGTTTGATATGACGACTGAGTGCCATTTGAAGGAGAAGAATCACCGGCAAGTAGTAATCCTTTCCCTTTAGAGTCATGGCCTTGAGCTAGCATCGCAGGAACAAAAGAGCTAGACAGTGAAGAGTTTTCAAGAACAGATTCCTCAGCAAGTAACTGAGCTCGAAAGTCTTTTAGAGAAATAACATTGTCTCTCCCTCGAATCACAGTTCTAAAGGTATTGTACTCAGAAGGTAACCCTTTGAAAGCAATGATAACAATATCGTCATCATCAAATGATACTCCAGCAGCAGCCAAATGATCACGGGCATCCTTTACCCTTTGTAGATACTGAGAAACTAACCCAGTTCCCTTCTTAATATTTTGAAGCTCAGTTTTCAATTGAAATATACTAGATTTGGTGACCGTGGAAAACCTATCACGAAGACTCATCCACATTTCACGTGCATTGGTACAACCAATTATACAAGACATGCCAGTAACAGATAAAGTTGCAATGATCAACAGCATTAAAGCACAATCATGCATCTTCCATATCTGATATGCTTCAGTTTCAACACCTTCAAGATTAGGATTATCAACGAACCAAGTAGGACACTGACGAGAACCATCCACAAAGCCAAGAATCCCATGACTTTCAAGCAGCAATTGCATCTGATAATGCCAGACTAGGTAATTTGTATCATCCAACTTCACAGTCACAGAGGTGGACACAGTAGGAATTAAATTCGTAATTGGAGATTGCACAATTTGTAGCTGTGCAGCAGTCACCATATTTTCACAGATCGTATAAGCAAACAGAATTTCTTGCAAGAACTGAAAGTTTGAAAACCGTTCTTGAACAATCTTGAGACGAAAATCAACTTCAATTATACAAAGAAGAGTATCACAGAGAAAATTTCACAGACACATTTCATCAAACACCTGATGTGCAATAATCAAGCTTCGAAATCAAGAGGAGAAGGCACATATACTATAGCACTCCAGAAGAAGAATTGCATACCAGAAATTCACACAAATGAATGCAAATTCGGAAATCTCAGAGATGAATGCGGAAGCAGAAAGAAGATCAGGATCGGAGAGACGCCACCACCGGCGATGATACCATGTTGAATTAACTATCTTGAGTTTGAAGATTATCAATGTTGTTTAAAGAGGGAAAGATTATAGACACAGAATGTAGAAAGAGAGAGATCAAAGAGAATTAGAGAGAAATACATTGTTTGTTATATTGCTTTTACTTTCTTACAGAATGAATACAAAAGGTTCCTATTTATACACTTTTCACTACTTATACAGCAAGTAACAAATCCTTAACAACCTAACAACCATATCACTTAATCTCTTGACAGATGGCATCTTCTTGGCCATTATCTTCTTGACCATTGGATTGATCTTCCTTATCTATATCTTTACAAAAACTATAGAAAGCCGCTCGATGCGCCATCGCGCTTAACAACCACCTGGTGAGAACGAAGAAAACAACTAACAACATTCACAAAATCTCCTTCCGTTGCAAAACAAACATCTCCCCCGTCACCATCTGAGCATCATTGGAAGAGCCCGACTTTAATGTTAACGGCAACCAACCAGCACCCACTGCACACTCCAAGCCCACATTCATTGCGTACAAAAAAACACACCATATTCCCATAACCATCCCTCACCACCGTACCCACACCACGACAACCACTGCGCATATCAAGAGCACCATCCACATTGAGTTTGAATCCACCTATCCCTGGAGGGGACCAACGCAATATGGGCGTTGGAGAAGAAGACCTCCTACGAGGTTGATCAAGAGCTTCTTGTTGCATACCCTTTTTTATCTGTCGATGTTAAATTCTCCCTTCCTAGTCCGCAACCTCGAGCAGACCCAATTGTGTATTAGAGAGGAAAGAGGGGAAATTCGGTTACCCAAACCGCGTCATCACTACTCGTGCAACGGTTAAATCAAGACTCGCATAGCCCCCATGGAGTCGACGAGTTGATGGTTAAGTTTAAACTTTATTCCAAAGCCGTTATTCTACGAACCAAACTCCACTAACTCCCTGATTCGAACTTGGGTAGCTGCTATTATTGAATACACCGGAAAGATATAAACTTAAGAGATTATAGGGACGTTAATTCTTTACTTGGATTGGATTAATTAACTAACTCTAAGATCATTTATTCTTTTTTATAAAATTGTGTATTAGAGAGGAAAAAAGGGAAATTCGGTTACACAAACCGCGTCATCACTACTCATGCAACGGTTAAATCAAGACTCACATAGCACCCATGGAGTCGACGAGTTGATGGTTAAGTTTAAACTTTATTCCACAGCCGTTATTCTACGAACCAAACTCCACTAACGCCCTGATTCGAACTTGGGTAGCTGCTATTATTGAATACATCGGAAAGATATAAACCTAAGAGATTATAGGGACGTTAATTCTTTACTTGGATTAATTAAATAACTCAAAGATCATTTATTCTTTTTTATAAAATTTGAGTACAAGAAAGGGAAAGAAAAAAAGTAGAGAACATCACGACAAATTGAATCCTAAAAGATTTGAATTTCTCATAGATCTCCAATCTATAGAAGCACCAGTGATGGAAAACTCAGCTTCTGCTTCTGCTTCTGCTTCTGGGACTAGAGTATCAGTTTTCTTCTTATCAAAGCAGTACACAGGGGCTTGCCATTTTGCATCCTCAAGCGCTGCCCCAACCTCAAACGTCATCACATGTGCCTCCCTCCCTGCACCACATTATTCATTTCTCATAATCCACACAATTAAAATTCGAGATGTTATCGAGAATTCAAAATAGTCAGCATGCATCGTACCGAAGAAAATGATAAAAGGGTTAAGTGTTCGATGACTATTTTAGCGGAATGAAGATAACGGAATACTTGGCGCAAAACCGAACGTAGTAGGATTCTACGATTCATATATCCCACTTAATAGATAAGGCTTAATGGTTGTAATCACAATTCCCAATCAAAATCTGTTCTGAGGCACTTCTAAGAGCACAAAGCCAAACAAATTGATACCCAAATATTGAAACCCAAGTGATTTTTGTACTCTTTTCTCTTGCATTATTCTTTTGTAGTCATTAAATTAAATAAATTTAAAAAAAAAATTATGAGATAAAATTATTAAATAATTGCAGAACATGATAAAAGTAGTTGAATAAGAAAATAAATAATTAATTAATAAATCAGTTAGTGAGTACCTGTGTAGAAAATCCAATGGACAGGCCGCTTCGTATCGACGTCCTCATAATACGTAATGAAGTCGGCCTTCTCCCAAACATTGCACAAGAAACCACCGTCCACGTGTCGCCGACCCAGATACTTGGCTCCGTCGAGCCAATCGGGTCGGAGAATACCCACTTCGACTTGGACGGTTCTGCACTCTCGGGCGGAGTCCAATGTGTAGAAGAAGGAGGTGCCGTTGTTCCACTCCAGGTCGTAGGCGACCGAGCCCAGCTGGTGCCGTATAATGTTGAAGTTCCGGCCGTTGGGCCAGTCGTACCAGAGGTCGATGAGCTGGAGGGTTCCGGTGTAGTTCATTACCAGGATGGAGTGGAATTGGTGGGGCCATGGGGCGGGAACTGGGTCCTCTGATGACGGCAGTGCGCGGCAGAGAGAGGCGGCGAGGAGGATGAGGATGGGGACGGCGGTGATGGGTTTGGGCAGTGAAGCCATTGTCGTTGGTAGCTGGATTTTTGCGGTGAGAGCTTAAAAAGTGGACGCGTGCTGGTGGTGGTAAGGCGAGGCCACGTGGCTATTACTTACACCAGTGATGGCCAAAGTGAGCATGCACTCTAAAGCCCATTGGGCCTGAGAAGTTTCAGTCTCACAACTGGTGCATAAGCAATTACGTAAATTCTCTCCCGCACATTTTTTTTTTTATGAGTAAACGGTTGTGCGGGTGTGCAAACTTAGCGATTAAAATGGGATAATACTTAGCTCCCTGTATGTAAGGAGCTATTCTTTCAATCATCTTTACATAACTATGTGTTGTTATTTAATTGTACAGACGTTACAAGTTAAATCATTTATTATTTTTATCTAATCTTTTTACATGACGATATGAAGTTATTTTAACGTACAAGTATTATTAATTGAATTGTTCACTTTATTATCATCTAGAGAACATCTTTAAAATGTTCATCTAAAACCTTGTGTGATAGAACACTTTGAGTAGTTAATCAAAGATTTTGCCACTTAGAAAAACATTCTTGGTTTGGTCCTAGAAGTCAAAGGAGCCCTCAAAAACCCTTTTGTATAATGAAAATCTTCAAGAGAATTACCATGCATGATCAAACATCATGAGATTATAAAGAAATTAGTCAAATATTATATGTATATCTAAGGAGTTGTTATCGACAATACTCTAAAAAGTCGTATTGTACACCTTCGTGTGTAATTTTCTTTGATTTTTTTTATATTAATAAAGTACAAAATGATCATTTTGAAGAATCAATAATAGTTTCGTAAATATACGTAATCATTCATATTTCGTAGAAATTCTTTGAATGCATGATTGATCGTTTCACACTTTTAGTTTCATGTCAAAAAAACAAGGACTAGTATGTGTAGGTGTTCTCAAATCCAAATAATTCGAAATGATTCTCTTCAAGGAAGAAAACGACACTACATACTTGCAAAAGTTTTGTAAGCAAAGTTGTCAAACAATTCAGCAGCTCCTCTCTTCGGCAATTACCCCTTAAATTAGATCATATTTACCCCCAATGGAATATTACTTTTTTTTTTTTGGAAGACATGGAATATTACTTTAGATGACACTAGAGACACATAGATTGATTTTAATTAAGGTGGTGCTATTCATATATTCTGATTTTTATATCTCACACACATCTTTAAATTTTTAACCGTCGGATCTAATGAATTAAAAAAGTTCAATGGATGGACAAAAATTAACAAGGGCGTTTGAGAGATAAAAAGAGGTGTGTCTATAGCATTGCCTTTTAATTATATGAGAGATAAAAAGAAGTGTGTTAATAGCGCTGCCCTTTGATTATATGTGTATCAGTGTGTGATGATATTAAACTCAATTATTAATGCAGGCTATATTGATCCTACTTATTTTAAAAGTGTGTTAGTTTTATGTGTTTAAATAGTTTTATACTCATATCTTTCCGAACAAGCAATGTCAGAAGAGAACAAAACTCAGAACCTTAGAATACAAAAAGGAAATGCTTTTAACCAACTTAGATACTATTTACGGAGGTAAATAGACCAAAAAGGTTGTGTCTCGAGTTAAAAGGTTTTTTGTTTTTCGTTTCCTTTGGACTCTATGCCGTGTTTTTAAAAAAAAATTCCTTTTTCAGGTTCGAGAGTAGCTCAAGGGACGGGTGTACCAACTTGTTAATTGGAATATTATTGATGCATATATATTGGAGTATGGAATATAAAACTCAAATTATAAATTCGACTCTCGGTTTGAATGTGTATTAGTCTAGTGATAAACCAAATTTGGAAAGGAAATCTATTTTCTTTGGTATTTTTTTTCCGCCACTAAAGAAGAGTGCAAATCGACATTTTACAGTGCCAATAACAGCGTTTGGACTCAAGGGCACACGTAACTTGTAAAACAGGTTAAGAGTTCTTGATGTTATCTCAGTCTTTGATTAATGAAATTTAGGAATTTTTATTGCCTATATTTTGCTTTCTATTTTTTTTTCCGAGCACTCTTTTCTTTAACAACCAGACACACTTCTATTCAGTTTGCTCACTTTCTGCTCGAAATGGCGGAGGCAAGCGAAGGCAGGGGTTCTCAGTCCAACACATCCGCCATGTCAAGAACAGAAACCATGTCATTTCCACCAATTTCTGAGATACCCTGGGCTAACCCCTTGGTTCGGTCTTCGACGGTGGATGGAGTAACGATGCAGGCCAAGGACTAAAGGCGTTGTTATTACATAAAATTACTGGCTGCTGGAATTTAAGTTTTATAATATAATACATGTATTTTTTTAGAGTTATAATGCATGTATCTAGCTTTAAATTTGTGGCTTATGAAATTCCTATGTTAATGACATTTTATGAAATCATTTAGTTTTTTAGGAGTTATATTGTAAGCCTTTATTTTTTTTGTCTTTTCATATTTTTCACTTTAAGTTGTAGGCCTATAAATACTTGTATTTGCAAAGAAGAAGGGAAGAAGTTGTTTGAATTATCATATTGATATTTGAGTTGTAAACTCGTTTTTATACATCTTTCTCTTGTTTAAGAGTTTGTTGTTTTGTTCTTTCTAGTGTTTACGTTGTATGCTGGTACTAAAACAAAAGTTTATAGGGTTTTCAGGCCTTTCCTCGCACTAGGAGATAATGGACCCTACCTGTCTATCATATCTATTATTTTATTTCATTTCTATCTCTTGCGTCCTGCATCAAGTAACAACTTGGGAAGCATCCCAAACGACGCAACAGAGGGCGGATTCAGTTGGCAAGGTCTAAGCTCTGTTCCGGCAAAGACAGGGCAGTGGGTTATCGGGGATCAAGGGTAGGGATGGGCAAATACCCATTGGTTATGGGTAACCGTTTACCCATTTATTTTATATATGTAAAACTAACACAAACCATGTTCTCGATCCAATAATACTTAGCACCCAATAAATTAGCAAGGAATTCATTGGTCATTCTCTCAATAACACTGCTACAGAAATGATGATTCTCATCATCAAGGAACTGACCAAATTAATTTAAATTTCTTGCTGGTAACCGTGAAATTGACAGAAATGCTTGACAAAAATGTCTTCTAAACAATTTTTGTAACCCAATAATACTTAGCAAATATTATATTTACCTTCATTGGTAACAGTTAAAAATATTGTCCGTGAACTATTATTTCAATTATTGGAATGGTATATGACTTAAAAAATTAAAATATGAAAATGTATGATGAATGTATCTACAACAGTATTTAATTGTAAAAAAAAGAAAAGAAAATTATGACAATTTTTTTTTTAATTTTCAAGTTGTTAAAAAACATGTAGACAGGTGAAAAAGGAGTAATGGTAAAAAAAAGAAAAAAAGATACACGAGTTAAAAAAGATAAATGGATAAACGGGGATTAAATGATTACAGTTAAATGGGTATGCGGTTATAGATATGGTTAAACGTTTATAAACGGTTATGGATATGGGTATAACCGTTTAAGCAATTACTTAACAAGTAAACGGTTATGCGAGTATGAGCATAAACGATTATGAGTAAATAATCGCAATTATCCGCCAACCATAACCGTTGCCCATCCCTAATCAAGGGTAGAGAGGCCAGTTCGGTTTGAGATTCTAAAACCCTTTTGAAAAAATCATGGTTCAATCTGAAAACAGATTTGTGTCTGAAATTCCATAGAAATTTGAAGACTTGTATGGTACTAAACATTTTCTCATTCAAGGCGCCCCTTGGGTTCGAAAAACTTAGAAAACATATAAGCTTGAATTTAGCGGGTTACCCATTCTCGTCTCATACGGAAAGCCAAAAGAGGTCATAGATTTTACAACATAATATTAATCTTAAGCCTACAAAAATGTGAAACAGTTCACCAGCATTGACAGATCTCTAACTACTCAAATGTAAAAAATTGCACGGTATCATATAACAAGTTCTTACTACTGGAGACGACAGCAGTGCACAATATCACAGTTTACTCAAGCAGGCAATTTGGGGCAAATATCCCCCCAGTCATTTTATCATTCTAAATGCCATCAACTTGCTCAGAAGGTTATCTTGCATACTCAAAAGGTCTTTGCTGTAATGACTTGTCGTGATGATTCAAAAGGCGGTCGACATTTCAAGCATTTCAGGGCATGCAAAAGCTCAAAGGAAAAGTACAAACAAGTGAGAGAAATGAGAAACAAACCTGAATTTCACTCCTGACCTGAAAATTGCTGAAACATATTGTACACAAGTATGTGTTCGTCTAAATATACCTCAACCCTGAGATGTACTGTTGTCTAGATAATAGGTACTGGGCCAGGGAATAAATGATTCCTAAGAGCCCTAATATCCTAATCTTCAGCACGTCTGTTATTATGATCGATGGCAGATTAAGGGGCATAGTTATCAATGGCATTGAGTCCGCCTGTTTTGTGAAACTCCACATAAACCTGTTGAAAAGGATATGGCTCGGGAATGTAAGAACAAGGAGAGCCAAATTCTTCACCACAAAGAACCAATCTGGACCGCCAATTTCCAAACCCCAACCTGCATTCCCATGCCAGACATCTTCCCATATGCTGTAGAGGCCAGTCAGGACTAGGTAGGCCGATATCACTACTGTGACAGGGAAATACCTTTGCTTGTCACCAAATCCGGCAATAAAATCAGAGTCCTGGTTGAGCAGTAGCAAAATTGGTGCCAGGAAGAATATCGCACCATTTGAGCCGCCTGTGAGATTGACATTCAAGATGAGGCATATAGCAAAGCACATCACAGTGGCAACGTTACCGACTGCTGGCATCCAGGCTCCCTCAGCAGCCATTTTCGTAATTGTGAATGATGAGACACTTGCAGCTCGGCGCTGTTGCATAAATCTCATTCTCGAAGCAAAGCTAGTAGAGGTGCTTTGACCAGATTGACTATGCCTGATTCCAGGCCTTTCAGTAGCCTTTTCCCTCATCAATGACGCAATTTCAAACTTTATCTCCAGAGCTATTAGCATAAATATTGCTGCATAAAGACCGAGAAGAGATGTCCTTGCCCCCTCAACAGCAAATAGAGTTGTGAGCTTCTTCTCTTCTTCACCCAAATCTCCAAATTCGCTATCTCCAAGGATGTTTTTAACCCTCACCTGGCCCTCCAAAAGATATGTCACAGGAAAGAGAGCTACGAGTAAAGCAAATACCCAAGGAAGCAGCTTCGTACTCGAGGCAGATGGAAAATGGGTGAAAACCACAAACACCGAGGCAGAGACCATGGTTACAACAATAAGGATATGTAAGAAAGCTGTCTGAAGGAAGTATTCGGTAGATATGTAGACACCTAGAGCAATACCCATAGCTATGGAGTAAAATACTCTCAACTCAACCATGTATTTAATAGGTATGACAGATGTAACAGCTGCTAGAGTCAGTAGGATTGCCATAAGAAGAAGCCATGATGGCCACAAAGGTTTTTGCGCCACAAAGCCATATATGGTGATGTCATCAGCAGTCTGCCGAGCAGCTTTAATTAGGTCAGACCGGTATGTCCATGATACTGGAATAGGTGGTTGCATAAGGATAAACAACAATCCAGTTGCCACCACCAGCACTAGGCATCTCTTGGCAGACTGCACAAAAATGTAAAAAATGATCAGTTAGCATGACGAACACAATTGATTAGATAATGCTACATAGAAAAATTCATGAACTTAGGCAAGTTTGAAAAAATGATTGAGTTCTCTTCATAAAGTGCTTTATAGTTCTTGAACAGCTTAGTATCAGTCTCAGATAATGGTATCAGTTCACCTAATTAACATCGCAACTGATTAAGAAAACTGTACTACTCAGTTCAGTTTAAAATTCTGGATTTCTACAGTCAGTAGTACCATGAGAAGATATGCAGAATCAATACGAATGATTAATGTGATAAATCACACATTAAAGGCTTATACATAAATTCTGAACGGGGAATGAAAACTACATAGCTGCCCAAAACTTTAGGTAGAATATCAATTTATGTGCTTTTTCTTTGATTTCCATATCTATGCGAACAGGTTATGTGCAAAAGATACTGGGAGAAAAGTCAAGAAATAAAGTATGGTATACCAAGACATGAGAGAAGTGGAGAGCCACAATGGGTACACAAGCCAAGCCCATCAAAACAATACAGAAACCCAAGAGTAAGCCATCAGATGGGGGTCTTCCATTCCACCACTGGAGGGCTTCAAAGATTGTTTCACGGCAAAACCAGACTGATAAGGAAACCACACCTGCATGTGCATATCCTTGCCAAGCTTTCATCTTTGAGGCTGTTCTTGACTTATCCCTAGAAATCACAGCAAGCAAAGAATTAGTAAGGTAGATGCTTTACATATAAAGACTTATGAAAAACAAAACATCAAGCAAAATAGAGTTAGTACTTGTAAAGTAGCAATGGTGGTGTTACAGCCAATAATAGAATAGCTGACACCCATACGACAGACTTTGATGACATAAGCAACATAGCCAGCTTAGCTGAATACAAGCACGTCAAAATCCAAACAGCCTTTCCACCAATACGACGATCAACAGACAGTCTTTTCACCACAGCTAAACCCACAAATGTTGTCACAATAACCATGTAGCTTGGGTACATTACATCTTCCTCAAACCCATAATAGTATATGCCAGAGTAATTAAAAAATCGATTCTCAATGTGGCAAACGAGAATTGCATGGCCGATTAATCCAATCTCTATCAAAAAGTGAAGCTTTGAAGGAAGTAGAACTAGACCAGGAATAGACATAGCCAAGACAACATTCACAATTACGAGTTTGCAGAAGGATTTCAGGGACATTCCTGCCATCCAAATATTTAGATCCCAGAAATTCTGTATCACAAACCATGTCATCATCAAGCTTCCAAGAACAACAAAAGCAAAGTATGATGAAACACTCTTCTTTGTGAAAAATCGAGCCAAATAGAAACCAGCAACTGAAGGCAGCGGAATGAACTGCAACACAAAGGATAACCAATGATCATTGCTAGTTCAACATTCAAATTAGAGTTCAGAGGCACATCATAATGCAATACACTCATTTATTCAACATTCCAATTACAAGCCTAATACACGTTCAAATTGGAGAATTTTGCCTTCAACACATTACCATCCTTGAATTGGTAAGATTATACCACCAGAAAAGGTAACCGGCATTTTGACATAGTAATGAAACACTCTAGCCAGCACTTCATTTTCAGTAATGTTCAAAGATTGAATAAGAAGAGATTATATTGATGCACTACTGGTGGTTTCAGCTCTAACCAACCATGAAGCACAAGCACAACGTAAGCTCATAAAATCTAAAAGCAGAAAGAAGTATGATCGACAAAT